TATACTATTAAACCCGGTTAGCGGTCACATGAAAATCAATCATCCTACAGATCCACTAGTAATGCGGTATCTTTTACGAATAATGTACTTAGTGGATAACATCTAACCTGTCTATCATTAGTCACGTGAACAACAACCTTCTAAACTTTTGGTTTGGATTTAGACGAAAACACGCTATTAAACCAAAGGCGTGACTAAACCTTGGGGCGGAGGTAAGGAGTGTTAGCACTCCCAGTTTATTAGCACTTCCAAATGTCCTGTAAAGTATTTTAATTGGATTTTCCAACTAGCACAAAGCTGTAGTCAAAATAATTATATTTATAATACTAATTTTTTTACAATAAATTATTTACGCACTGTTTTAAAAAAAGGGAATGAACCTAATAACGGTTTACACAGTATAATATTATGTATAATTGTGTTTAATACACTGATCATTCTAACATTGAAAAATTATATTTATTTTTCAAATTTGTTTAAAAATGTATGTAACTAGTTAATTTATAAAGTTATACAAATGAGTAATGACTCTACTGGAACTTAATTCTTTAATTAATGTTTTTAATGACTTAAAGTATTGTTATACATCAGTGGTTTTCGACCTTTTTGAATTCATGTCACCCTTATCCACAAGAATCCAACCCTACGTCTCCCTAACATTGAAATAATTTAAGCTGTATATTTTAGAAGAAAAATATACCCTTTAACCTTATGCCGTTAAGTGTGAAAAATTAGAATGTTGTTCTGGAGACGGTGGTAATTACATGACAACAGCTGCCTTAATACGATTTTATTCGAAAAATTCTCATATTTTTATTCTTTTCTGAAAGATATCGACGATTTTGCGGCACCCCTACACTCCTGGTTGAGAACTACTGTTATACATCATTGATTTTATATTGATTTGAGTTATTGTATTTGTTCAACCAGTCACAGATTTAGAATTCTAAAATTGAGGGGGGGGGAGGGGGGAGGCATATTTTTTTCAGAAAAAATACAATTATTACTTAAGTACCTATATGTATAACATAATAAATTAAAGATAAAAACGTTAAAAATTTAATTTATATTCTTAATTTATGGATTTTAAGACAAATGACTTATTTATTACATAAATAAATACATAACATTTAGTATTTCCAAGGGAGGGAGGGAGGGAGGGGGATCTATCTTGGATCCTTGTTCTGATCAACTAAAATATTGTATATAGAGCAACTGCATGAAATTAATTATAATCGTTCAAATTCAATTTCCTTAACAATATAGATATTATTTAAGAATTTATCATTAAAGCCATTTTGCTTCTATTCTTATTTTTCTCATTCACTTCTCATTACCTGCCGATCTAAATTCTGGTATTTCGAGAACCTATTAAAAATAATAATGATTTCCTATTTTTTTTTTATTTTCAAACGAAAATTGATTATAAAATTGATCTTAAATTCTTTACATAATTTATAATATGATTTTGCAGTAAAGATTTTGTTCTCTAAAGTACATTTTGATGTTAATAAAACTTCTAAAGTCATTCCAATACTGGGAATTATTGATTTCATAAAAACTAAAAACATCACTGAGCGTATCTTAGGTGTACTTATTGTCTTTTATAATATAATATTGTTTCATCAGAATAAACGATTAATTTAATTAATGACTATTTTCTTTCATTACAGTCGGTATATTTCATCTCTCGTGTTTAGATGTGATTACAATTTTATAAATGTTAATTTCAATCTACACTGAATTTGAAAATATTAATTACTGTTTACAATTGTAGACTCGTAAATTACGCCTAGAAACCACAAGCAAGCTTGCATATAATGTGCTTATCCTTATAAATTTATTTTTATTTACTTTCAGGAATATCCTACTCGTATAGTCACATAAGTCACGAGTTTACTGTACTTCATAATATTATATACTTATTCATATTGTTTGGAATGTATGCTTTAATAATATCTATGTACTTTAGTCTTATATGATAATAAATTATAGCGGCGAACCGTTTAAAATACCTAAAATACATTTTGTCAATTTGTTTGTTTGTATATACAGATAACGGAGACAAAGTGACTTTTTCATTAATAACAAAAATCCCACCCAGGTAAAAAGAATATAGTTTTACCATAGTCTTATAAGATTACGATACCTATGTGTTATTATCGATATTATTTTTAAACCAACGTAATATTATATTACAGAGGTCCGGAAATTGTCGAGACAGAAATGACCGCAAATGGCCGATCGATCACATTTGGAAAAATGATATGAATTAAAAAATTATTCATTAGGTGGTATCTGGTCAGTGTTATCTTTAAAGTGACTTTAGGTGACTCGACGCCTGCAGTATTCATATTGTACATCCAATATCCATATATACATATATATATTATTATATTATGTATATATTATATATATATGTATGTTAATTGGTGTTCTAGGCCGTATATTTATAAATACATATTATGTAATAATTATCATTCCGCATTCGTTATGGGAATTTGAAATAATCATATACTAGTCCCTTTTGCTCAAACGTGTTGAATTCACTCGGGACACTAAAACGCACATGCCGAACGTGTGCGCTATACTGTTATTATAATTCTATAATATTATGCTCTATTCGAGTTGAGTTTACTCGAGTTTGCGCATGCCCACCGAGTACCTACCTGCTATCACGAAAACGACGTGATACTACAGACTCAGTGCTCACTCGTACGCAAACACCCCCCGACGATACGTTCTACACCAGCGCTCCAAGTCAATAACATACTGTGCATTTTTATGAGGGTTGTTTGGCGACCAGTTTTTTGTCTGTCGAGTGCAGGGCGATTGACTTGAGTAGAGTATAATATATAGTAGTATAGCCAGTAGGTATAATATATATATATATATATTCATGTAATATAATATATACTAAATTCTATAGTGTCTGTTTTATCTTACGATTTTTTAAATTTCTTTTATGTGTTTTTATTTAGTTACTGTGGTGTTTTTGTATTTTTTTTTTTTTTTTTATACCTATTTGAACCGCAAACCCGATGCTATTATTTCATTGTTAATTACAGAGTGTTGTCATATAATTCTTCACAATACTTGTACACTTGTTCACATTTCTCGCATCATAGATTACAATAATATTATGAATAAGTTCAAATGTACAATAATAATATAAGAATGTAATATAATATACTTCTTTTATGTTTTTATTGTAACAATACATTTATTTGTAGTTATTATAAACCGTTAGGGAGTATATTATTATGTTAAATGTTTGTGTAATATCAATTGGATTTGAGACAAAAATGATCGTATGCTATTTATACCTGTACAATTATAGACTATTGCCGATTGTATATATTTGAGTTTTGATATAATTATTAAAATATTAAACGATATATTTAATAACACTCTAAAAATAATAGAGACGAGATCATAAAAACACGAAAACGCTGTAAAATAGAAAAGGATTTAGGAGAAAACAGCTAACATGGGAAATATAAACACGGAAGAGCTCAAATGTCCTCAAAGGACGTCCTGTAAAATCATTGAAATTTTTTTTTCAGTTTAGCAACGGAGGATTACTTATTTGTTGGAAATTTGTTGATAAATATCAATACAACATTAAGAACATAAATATTAAAATAATTGAATAATGTATGTAAATATATAACTGCAAGGTAATACAAAGTACATAAAATAACAAAAATATTAAATAAAATAAATTGAAAAAACTGTCCACATTTTTAATGTAGAGTGCTTAAAAAAATCCGTATATATAATAATATGATCAATAGATGAGTAACACATCTGATTTAATCAGTTGTGATATTAAATGGAAAGAAAATTAAAACGACGTGCAGGTGATGGTTTTTACGGTCTTCGTTAGAAGGATCACTATATAAACATAACTAAGTACCTAACTGTCATTTTAGATTCTGAGCGGAGCTGGATACGGAGCGGATACATTCTGAATGTATTTTTAATTTAAAAATATTTTTGTTATATTAACTCTTTCTCACCGTGTAGTAATATGTTCATGTGCATAAACTTGACTTCATCGTTTTAAGAATGCTTGTAAATAAAATAAAACAATAGTACAATAGGTACTTACTCTGACGGCTCTACAGGGATGGAGTCACTTAGATCTTGGTACAGTCAAGTATTAAAAAGTAAGTGCTAAGATATAAGTTTTAAATAAGGGTTAAAGTTATTTTTTGTTTGTTGATAATGTTTTTGGATCGTTTACAACTTAATATTAGGCACTACAAAATACTATGGTATAATGATGAGCAAAAATCAAAACTCATTAAAAATGCATATTATGTATTTATAATATATAATATGTATTTGTATATTATATTATACTATATTATACGTGTGTGTATTAAATAACATCAAGAATACTTAGTAAAAATAAATAAATAGCGAGCCATCAAAAATAGTTGATGTAACAGATAAAATAGAAATATCAAATAACTTCGAAAAAACAATCAAAAAGGAACATTATCCTAATCATTAATATTATTATATATGTATATACAAGACATGTTTATAGTTTCACAACTCGACAGTTCTCTAATACATTTGCACAAAGTAATCTTTAATGAAACATTAGATTATTAGATTATTATATTAATGTATGTACAAACATATTTGTTTTTATGCATATCAATAATGATTTCATAATTCGGTTAACCAATTCTATGATTGCACAGAACAATCGCGTTTAGAACAAAAAAAAAAAAAATACTAGTTATATATTTAATAATTTATAGCAATAATAATATGTCAAGTTAAAAATAAATCGTCATATAATTGGTAACGACTGTCGATTTTGNGTCAAGTTAAAAATAAATCGTCATATAATTGGTAACGACTGCTGACGATTTTTAATATTTTTGGTAATACTTCTACTACTACTACTACTACTACTACTACTACTACTACTACTACTAATAATAATAATACTTCCAATACTGCTACTAACAACAATAATCATAATAATAATAATAATAATAATAATAATAATAATAATAATAATAATAATAATAATGTTGATAATCGTAGAACGACAACTTCGAATAAGCGCAGTGTATGATGAGCCGGCGGTCGGGCAACAACTAAGTACAGTTTCTGTTGATCATAATGTTTGCCAGGGCATTTCGTCTCTTCCTCCAGCATCCGAGTGTCTGACAATGATATTGCAGCTGTTTGTACCACATTTTCGTCTGCTCGCCGTCTTGGCCCTAAACAAAAAAATAATAATTATCTTTGGTTTAATATCACTGCACTTATTCATGTTCAGAGGGGTTTTATTATATTTTACCAAACGATAAAAAGATGACATAATAGGCGCAGTTCCGCGTTGATTTCAAGCCAAAACTATTTTGCGCCCTATTCGGAGATATGGTTCGACCTAATGCTACCGTCAGTGTAAACGAAAAAAAAAAATGAATAATAGCAAGTTCGTTGAAAATAAACCAGTGCATCCCAAACGGCTCCCATCCGTTGTTTTATACTTTTTCCCAAATGCCTCCCTTCAAAAAACGTTTCACTCAACTTTACCCAATGTATGATTTTTCTATTTCTGATTTTTTCTATTTTAACTCTAAAATTTAAAAAAAAAAACAATTTTATAATATCAAATCTTTTTTTATTTTTAACTCACATTATCAGACAGTCCAAAGTCTGTATGAAATGCGAAGTAATTTATGTTGTAAAAACCCGTTGGTGTTTGGGAATTTACCTGTTTGTTAAACGAGAGCCGTTTGGGATATGTCCAAATAAACATTTTGTTTTTGTCGAGCAGTGTGACCTACGTCCAGTGTCAGTATGGCACGGTAGGTCACTCGGCAATCGTCTGCGAGTCAATCTCAGTAAAAAAAACTACTAATTTAATAGGAATTATATAGTGTATAATTTATCTAACTGAAAATAAAATAATTGTATTGCTGTGTTTTAAATGACAGTTAAATAATTGGGTTTCTTGAGTCCTTTTAAGTCCGACCGGGATACAGAAATAATATATTATCACAGCAGAGTTTGCAGGAAACATTTCAAATGTACTACACACATAATATTGATCCTGACGCGCATGACTTGGGAGTAGATCGTTTAATATAATATACACCTATGCTGTTAGATATGATGAGCTATGAATTCCCCAAAACTTACTTTCAGTATGTACGTGTCCTTGGTAGTGATTTCGTGCAGTTCGAAGTAATCGTCCCAGTCGCTTTCACAGCATAATACACACCGGTCCAAGTACATGGGTTCCTGAAAAGCAAATATAAAGATCGATTAAAATGCATATTATCACAATAAATTGATTTTATCGGTGAAGTGACCGCGAATGTGTTAATTATTATTACACGTATTGAATCGTACTGGAAATGTGAATCGGGATTTTCCAGATTTGTTTAAATGTTTTAAAAATCCTAGTCGTTGAATTATACATGACGTAACGCCATGACACTGCGTACATAACATGATATTTATATACGCGAGTCGTCGGGTCGGCGAAACTCTCGGGAGAAACCTCTCACTCTTTTTCTCGAGATCATATAATGAGAGAACGCGCTACAGACGCGTACGTCCACTGCACTATAGTTCCAATCCGAAATCGTAAAGTTTTGTTTTGTTTTTTTTTTTGTTGTTACTTACCCGAAGTAAGCTTATCCTGCCGCTCTTCTCCTTGAGCAACACCAGCGACGCGTCTCTGATGCCGTTCTGTCTGGGAAACGAGATGTCGTCCGCGTCCGGGTTGTAATTGTCGTTGGGCTGAACACAGAGAAAACGTAACCACACATTAATCACGCATACCTCATATTTTATACCAATTGCGAGCGCGTACGTACTCGACGAGCGGGCACACGATTATAATCGTTCGTATATAATTTATTATATTATATTATATTAAAGACTCACCTTTCCCAACGTCACGATGATCGCGTTTATCGGCATCAGTTTGATGGTCCTGCCGCCCCGCCGCCAATTGTGGTCCGACGGTTGTGTGTACAGCAGCCGACCCTCCATGGCGAACCGGATCTCTTCTCCAAGTCCCGACCATTCGAGCACGTCCACGGCCACCTGCAGCCCGAACAACGGAAATTTACATAGGTCTACAACACGTGTGTTCGTCTGGCGTGACGAACTTGACGATTTACTCGGAGACGTCTTAACGACTCGTTGGATATACATACTACCCATAGATATCAATTACTAGATAGTCAGTCGCCCTTAGGAATAGCTTAAAGTTGGATTTTCGTTTTTAAATTTAAAAAAAAAATCACTTCATGACCTACCCTGTCCGCAAACTTTATTCAAACACCTCATTTTTTCGTCTCGTTATACTGTTCACAATATGCACGTGTACTCATTACTCAATGTACACTCCCGGGACCTATATCTACTACACTAAATATCACCCAGGAGCTAGATAAAGATTATACCTCTACTGCGTTTTCGTAGATGAATTTAAATTTCTGCAGGTGCCTTCGTTCTAAATAATGAATTACTCGTTAAAATTAAAGTCTCCAAACGCTTATAATATACGCGCGTATAATATGTAAATGTCATTATTATGCCGTCCGTAGTAAATAAGTACAACACACTTCTTAATCAAGGCACGTCGTCCCCATCAAAATACATTCTACCGTTGGAATGTTTATAACTCTTTTTAGTCGAATATAATAATATAATTTCGTGATAAAAAATAACAATTGAAAACCCGAAATGCGACACATCCGTTTGTGTAAGGTTAACCTAACCTAATATTTTTCAGTAGTGGCCAAATTGTGCCTTCCCTCCCTCCAAATTTCCCCTCTCGCTACAGTTGTATCTCTTTTTTTATTCGTCCTTGGTTTTTGGTATGGCTGGGAGGCTCGACCTCACCGGACGTGCGCGATTGTCATTTTCCTCACCTATACGCCTGCTTGCTAAAAAAATACTGTTTCGATCAGTTCTTTCCACTCATCACTTATATGACTTTGTCTTTCTGTACTTTTCAAGACTGCGAAACTAAGCGAGAAATTTGCAACGTTGCATCCGACGAGAGGATCTGGCTCTCTCTCACGCGACTTCACTTTAAAACTGTCATTTTCATTGCCTTTCTCATTCTTTATGTATTCGAAAATTGGAAAATATTTTCCCACCACCTACCTAACGTGAAGGTTTTTTTAAAAGTACTTTAGTTTCATTGCCGCTCCTATACGTCGGATTTAAAGTGATGAAAAATAGTAATTTGGTTTTGGCACAATATATATTAAAAAATAAAATGTATTTTCAATTTAGCTTGTTGTTTTTATATTGATTATTTTAATATCAACAAAAAGTAATTAAGAATATTATTATTACCTTGCGAAATTTGATGTCTGCCAAGTCCTCGTTATCAGGCCTCTTGCCATTGATCGCGTAAATTTTTCGCCACAGTTTCGTGGAACTGATGTCTTTGGCCAGCTGCGGAGAAACAACGGGAATTTCAGAACAATGGTCACGCAAAGAAAAATATGAGTTGAACAAATATTATTCGTGTAGAAGGCACTCACGGAGTTTATGTGTTCCAGGTGCAATTGTATCTTGTGCCTCGCTTCGTTGAGCGTCTGCCGAGCTTCCAGATGGTGTTCGGGCGTGACTTTGTACAAGCGCGCCAACAGCAGCGGATACTTGGTCACGCGTTGGACGGGCACCTGCGGTGTGACAGACGGAAATCCAAAATAAAAAAATAAAAACCGATTACAACCGTATTACGATTTTAGATCATAATAATCATAATAAAATATAAGGCGCGACGAAACGTCGTGCACGCTGAGCCCCGTCGACGCACGACTCCCCATCGTCAGACACGGTCGTCTGCACGCTTATGTACCTACGCTGGCGCGAGTATAAATCGTCACCGATGTTCCGAAACCGTATCGATGTAATATAACAATTGTGTAGTCGTATTAAACAAGCTCACCATTAGGAAACTGTTGAGGTTCATCCGGCGGAGCACTGCGTTTTCCATCTGCGACACCCTCAAGAATATGCGCAGAAGCTCTTTCTCCTTCTCCAGGTTGGCGAGCAACAACGCGGCGTTGCCCTGCGAAAACGAAAATGTCGTTACGTGAACATGGATGCAGAAAAACTCGTGACTGCCGCGCGACAGAACTTTCACACTATATATGATATACGGTGCACGCGTGATCGACCGCAGAGCTGAGGGCTATATGGGTGGGCATCATTGCCACGACGGTGCAGTAAACATCGTCACCGGTATAAATGGTACTCGTTTGACTTTATCGCACTTTCCTGCTACTGCGAGTCGAATGCGGACAATGTAACACTCGTTGCGAATAAGTTTCCTTCGGAGGCTGCGGGTCCAAAACCGTATGGCCGTAATACAATACTGCTGCGCAATGTGCAGTTATACCGTACGATTTTTCAAAACTTAAAACGAACAACTTTTACTGTTGCCCAAGACTTTGATTTATATATTATAATCGACTTAAAATGGAATGAAATAAACCACTATTGGGGCATTGTGATTATATACACGAGACTTTCGATGGGATTTAAACGTGACAAACTTGATCAGGGGAGTAGGGGACACTACAGGACAGCCACTCGTTTCAGACTTCAGTTATCACGTTCAACTATATATATATATATATATATATATATTATATACACCCGGGGTGATCCATTTAACGTTAGATACTCATTATTATTTCAGAAAACATCAAAGTTTTTAAAAATATATCTTGTACATCATTTAAAGTTGTTCCAAAACAAAATGTTTGGAAAAATATTATATTTTTAAAGTTTTTTTACTATGTTTTCTAATGACATATTATACATTTTTAATTTTATACTCCGCAGCAGAAATATTATTCTTAGTATTTTGATCAATTAAAATCAAACTTTGCGGGGGAAGTCGTTTATTAGTATATTTAAACTTTAGATGGACCGAATAATGGACCCACATGTCGCGTGGTTCGTCTTTAAAAATATGAAAAAAATGTCAACAAAAATATAATTTTCTTATTTTAAATGATGAGTGTCTTACGTCAAATGGATTAATGATTACCTGATTACCCGGTAAATGATACGAACGACGTGATGTGGAGTCATCAAAGTGTATTTTGATTGTTGGATTTAGTCCAGACAAGATGTTATAAATTTAGGGATGGGCCGATACCACTTATTACCAATATCCGATATTCCGATATATGCTGCCGATATAAAACCGATACCCGATAATAAATGGAAATGTTAAAACAACATTTTTGACAAAAAAAAAACATGAGCCGATACCATCAACCGATACATAATAAAACCGATACCCGATAACACAAATAATATTACCTAGAAAAGTGAAAACATTGATTATTATAAAATAATCTATGGTAGGTATTTGATTATTGACAACCTAACCTGTGCATTTGTGAATTATGATACTATCAATACTATGCTGATCGATAGGTTTTTTTTTTTGGTATCGGTTGAAATATCGGTTTTGAAAAAAAACCGATACCGATAAAACCGATATCTATAGTATCGGTTCTAGTATCGGCCCATCCCTAGTTATAATATGTGCGGTATCGCTTAGGTTAGGTTTGTGGTTTATACATATCATATATGGACAGTGCAAGACGTACCTGGCGGGTGCAGTACGACTGGAACGCGTGCAGCATGGACGGCGACGCTTCCAGGAACAGCCGGCCGATGTTCACTGTGAGCAAGTCGTCGTCGCCCTGTTCGACGGCTATCTCGTACGCGTCGCGCAGCTTCTGCGACAGGGCGGCGCTGTGCTCCTTCAGCTCGGACACGTTTAGGAACACGGTGGTCAGCTGGTCGGCGTTCAGCAGACCGGCCACCATCATGGGCCGGTAAAACTCCTCGGTGACGATGTCCAGGTCTCTGCCGTACTTCTCCTCGGTCTCGACGATTTCGGCTATGATCTCCCGCCGCTCGGCCCTGCGTTTGTGACACTTGCGGCACACCAGCGGCGCGAACATGATGCCACTGCGAACGGTCAAAGACAAAAACGGTCGACGTTTTAATTTAGCTGCATAATGATTTTTCTCGGTAAACTGGCACGTTGCACTGTTTGAAATGCATAATATCCATACGCTTTGTACGGTCGTGTAAAGCGGACACTTTGCATAACTATATTCATTATGTACATATAATAGGTATGCATGTAAATATAAGCGTGTCTAATGTTGTGAGGTTTAATCATTATTTTATTTATTTTTTATTAAATATTTCACATGTTATACATAATATAGTATAATATGGACAAGTCGAAATAATCATTTTTCTTTTCATTCACAGGTTAGGCAATAACCAAACACGACTTGGTGTTATAGCATATTTATAAATTATAATATTGTAATTGGTATTAACAAATTAAAAAGTACCAAATGTAATTTAAACCTATAACGTTTTTAATATAATTGCACATGACTTCAAACTCGCTTATATTATTTATACTTTATGTAGGTATATAGTACAATGTGTCCGCGTTCGGAAATGAATATTTTTACTTCGTCGTACAAAGTGTTTGCGTTTCGAATTTTTAATGTTCGACCGTATAAAGTGACCTAGAAGGCTGTTCGAACCATTTTTCTTAGTTACTGCTTTAGCCCCCCCCCCCTCACCCATGGATCACTTATAATTATTTTCAGGCGAGGCCAGGGAATAGGGATTAATTAGCCTAGGTATATTTGTGTTGGTGGTAAATGGCAGCTTTTACCCCAGTGCGGCGTATATGTCTTTTGAGGTACAAATATTTAATTCATATTATCGTTGTAATATATTATGTTCTATTGGGGTAAAATAGATTAATAAATCGGAAAAAAAAATTTTATTTTAAAGACAAACATTAATAGAGAACCTAAACACTCTTATTGTTTAAACAGAACTGTATAGCACTGAAAAAAAATAATATTAGTATATGAACTCGAGTATATTATAATTATACATTATATATTCACAGTTTATGAAGAATTTCATAAAATAATACAATAAATAAAAGATTTTTTTAATTTTTGTAGTTTTGTATGCAGAATTACGCGTTAGTACCTATCAGCAATATTTGAGCCATGATTTTGACCCACCTAGCCGCCTTTTTTTGCTTCGGGTCAATTATAATTATTTTACTGTCTTGTACTGTATATTTATTATTATAGAACCATATAGGGTATTTTATATTTTGTATTATAATATTGTTTCCCATGTTCATATGGTAGGATAGTATTATACTTGAAATATATGCTATTTTAATGTCCCCCTGTCCAAATATATTATATTTCTCCAGGGTGGTTCTGATCCTTAATCCGGCTCTGCTCGTTATATCGAATTTAAAAAAATATTTCCTCATACTTTTCTGGATAAATAACAATCAAACGTTTCGGAATTGATTTTCCAGTACGACTACAAAATATATATAATACATATATACATTCGACGTTATTATTGTTGCTGCAGTTGCTAACGATCGTCCCGTGCGCTATCATATAATACATTTTTATAACGAATAAAAACGAACGATACACAGGGGTAAGGTCAAATCGTACTTGTTTTTGCCGAATTGCACTCGGGACGGAAAAAGGTAATGTTCGAATTGCACTCGGGATCGAAAAAGGTAATGTCCGAATCGCACTCGTTCCGACCATTACATAAAACCTATTTATTAACAGACACCGGCAGGAGGCGGTCGGAAAAACGATTTGTTTTTTAAACATCTAAATTCTATTGTTTTGACTCTAATATTATAATAATTACATCATTAAACGGCTACAATTTAAAAATATGTAATTGAGAGTATTTCAAAATAATTGCTGTCATGTCGTTGCAATACTAAATCGACTGACGCACGCACGCGACTGCAGTTGACTAAAATTAACATTCGTTGTAAGTTATATTACGGAATGATTGGCCCGATCTCGTGTATTCGAACATTTGGATCACTGCAGTTTGACCATCATACCCGTATACATATACGTACACACGTGCAGTGCATCGAGAGCAGTTCGGAATCGAAGAAGTCGGGTTTTCTCTAAACGTCCAACGATCGATCTCGAAAAATTATATCGGAAAACCGAGGTCCCGGATGATATCGTTTTGTCATCGCGAAGTACCGAAGACGACACGGAGCGTTTCCTGTATACGGTTTTCACGGTGCGGCGGAAAGCGGCGGCGGCTGAGATTAACAACCATACGTGCGTTGGGCGCGTAAATATTACCGACGAAAATAATGACGACGACACGTACCTACAATAATACGTTTTCGGCCGGACGGATATTAAACGCGGCACGTGACCCGTTCGGTAATATAATAATAATAATAGTAATAAAAAACGCAATATGACACGATGGCGTACGGGTGACAGACCAACAGAGACACGTTTATTGGGGGGGGGGGGGCGATTCGAGGGTTTACGGCCAAGCTGAGTGTGCGTTTTTAACTTCAAATCGACTTTGTGCGTATAATAATATAAGTAACCACTACACCTGCCTATAGCTGGCTGTTATACATAATATAATATATATCTAGTTAGGTACTTCACGTGCGTTACTTTCTCGAGTATATGTTGCGTGTGCAGACGAAATATATTATAATATACCTCTATTATAACATCAAAAACGTGACTCGACAGAAACGTCGTCTCGGCCTATCTCCCTATACCATGGATCTAGTAATTAGTACGACAGTCGTACCTTTATATATATGTATATTAATCATCGTCAGTGGAGGTTGCAAGGAATACAAATATGCAGTGTTGTTGGGGATATTTCTCCCCCCACCCACCATCTTTAGACCACTTGACTATAGTTACACGTACATAATATCATTACATATAACTTTTAAGTATCAATAAAACACCCAACAATAGTGATTAACAATTTAAAAACGTTCAGAATTTTATTTACCAACCAAATATTGCAAATATCTCAACATTCAAATCTGAACGGACCCCAGGCACCAACCCAATTACGTGGGTGTCTCCGAGGCCACGCAATACCAGCGCTTATACTGTAACCACTGATCGTTAACCACTAAGGTATCAATTTAGCATCAACACGACTTATACTTCCTCCATGATTATTTTTTCATGGAAATCCCGGCTTAACCGTTTAATGAAAACTCACCCATCCGTCGTCTGTATCTCGACGGGCTGGTCGCAGTCCTCGCAACTGTGCTGGGTCTCGTGCTGCTGTTGCTGTTGCTGTTGCTGCTGCCACTTGCTCCGCGAGCTTTGACTGGTCTCCGAGCCCACGCCCGAATCGTTGCGCTCGATTTCCACCGCGGCCCTCTTGGCCGCGTCCGCAGACTGTAGTATCGCGGCCACCGCGGCCGGACTGCAACCGCCGTATGACGAGGATTCTTCGCCCGAGTCGTTGCACGCACCGCCGCCGCCGCAAGAGTCGGACTCGGCGGCCGCCTGATCGTCGCTGACAACCACGAACTTCGGATGTAAGGCGGACGTGTCGTGCAGAGAACCACACCGACGTTTCGCATCCACCAGATAGTTGATGATGTCATACTTAGTGGCTCCCTCAAATATTGATCGGCACGGCAGTATGGCGGCCGGCTCGTGGTCGGCGCGGTCTGGCGGTGGGCACGAGGGTAGCGGCGGTGGCGTGGGCGATTCCGATATCTCCTCGTAGATGGGTTCCGTGTCGGCCGCCATTATGGCCGCGGCCGAGGACGAAGTGGACGAGAACGATGACGAGGACGCCGACGACGCCGACGAGTAGGACGCGTCCTCTTTGGCCGAGGCGTAACACGACTCGGAACTGGACTCGGTGTCGGACAGCGGGTGGACGGCCATGTGGTGTTTTTCAATTTCCGACACGCGGTACGGGCTGACCAACGGCGTGGTGTCGCCGCCGCTTGACCTACGGCCGCATACGTGTGGCGTCACGTCCAGGCGAGCCGCTTGCACAGGGTCGTAGTTCATCCGTATGAAGTCGGACATCCGACTTCCGGCCCGGTCCACCACAGTCACGTTGCTCCTATAATTCCCGGTCCTGCCCCCCCGGCCAGTGTTTCCGGTCGGCCGGATGCTGATGGTCACCTTGTTGTCGGACGACGCTGCGTACGCCGCACCACCCTCGCCGATGATCACCGACGTCTTTAGTCCCGGGCTCGAGTTGATCAGTATGGACGTTTTCTGTTCCGGTTCGGCTGGATATTCTGGGCACGTGCCGAGTTCTTCAGACGGCGAAACTTGCACCACTGTCCTGTTGTTGTTGTTATTGTTGTGGTCGTCGTCATTGTCCTCGCCACCGCCACCTGTTCTTCTTCCACATAGAAACAGTTCGGTGATCGTCGGGGACGACGTTTTCGGAGGTGGTGGTGGTGGAGGTGGTGGTGGTTCGGCTGGCCTGTCAAACGCCACCCGACTGTCCGGTCTGCTCTTGTGCCTTACGTGGATTCGCATGGTGTCGTTGAACACCGTCACGTCATCCAACCCGGTGGCATTTCCGGAGTTTTGTCTGTCGCTTAGGCTTCTCTTCAGTTTCCGTTCGACGGCTGCCACAATCGCTTCGGGACCTAAGAATAACACAATTCGAATTAGTATCGTATAGTAGAACTGAATACGGGTTCCGAACAGAGCGTGTTACAGGTCGATTGAACGATTTGGGGCGAGGGTGTTATACTTATGGCTTATTAGAAGGTCTACGTGACTTGGAAAGTCCGGTTATTTTACCACGTGTATCACGTAAATCGGAACTTTCTCCAGCCGATGACAAGACGCGAATCTGAGGTTTTTCATTTCTGTCTCGTCATCGGACCAGGTTTTCACAGAATGATGGTCGTTCAAAAATAATGGTTTGTTCACCTTGTGCAATATTTGTTATATTGGCACTTTTATTTGATTATACGCGTTGTACACGTGTATATGAAAATAATGATCACAATTACCGTACACGTGCCCAAATCACCGTTGTTACTGTTTATTATGTTATAATTTTTACTAATTTAAATCTCGTGATTTGCGTGAATCGCCTAAGAACCTACCACGCCTACGATAATAACATATTGTTTAACCCCCCTCCGAACCTGGCGTCACAGTGTGACATAATGCATATCATCGTCGAAGGAAAACCAGTTACTAAAATTTCTGAAATGTTATCATAATGCACACGTGCTCAATGACAAATTATGATTCGCCCCTCCTTCTTCTTTCCACGACTCACGAGTAGTATCGGCGTGGATCCCTTTCACCACAGTCGAACACTGGCACCGCCGGAAGATCGCCCACGCGGTCCAGAAACTTCAAAAATCATTTTTCATTGCCAGTTCGAGACGATCTATTTATCCGTCAGAGCACACGTGTTTATAAACGATGATATAAATATTTACATATACCGGGGCGTACCAAATATCCCATGCTAGTGGACGCGTAATAATAATTTTGAAAATATCAGAAATAGCCTATACTGCAATTTAACTGAACTTAACTTTTTCATATTTTGCACCTAAAATAACCGGCATTTGAAATACTAATGTACTTTTCCAATGTCTTCTGTCCTGAGTGGGTTTACCACTCTAACAAATTCCCCCGGTCAATCATGGTTCTCAAACACTGTGACTGTAATGAAATTAATTATATTGAATTTTAAATTAAGATAGTTGGTGGATATAGTTCAACGCAAATCACGTGAGAGAAAACAATTTAAAACACGTACCAGTAAATTATCAAACCAGAGTACTTTTATAAATATTTATAATAAAGGGTTCTAGACATTTGGCATCTTTGCGGTTGTCAATTAAACACGGGTTTCGCGTTCACGTATTTTATGAAAAATGATCGGAGAAACAGCTCGCAGGAAACAACTTCGAAAAACTTACCACTACACAAAGGGTTTTGGTCTTGCCGATGCTGCGGGTGATGAGCAGCCGTCGGCGTTGGTGGTGCAGGCGTCGGCAGTGCCGTGTGTTCGACACTGTTTTCCGTCACCACCGAAGTTGCAGTTTCCGAGTGGTGGCCGTCGTCTTCTCTCGGTTTTTCGAGGACCACCGAAACGATGTCGAATTGCACCTGCTTCTTCGTTTTCTTCTGCGGCCCGCTGCACGGACTGGCACCGACGACTTCGGCTGACGTAGCGGTAACCGGCGTCCTCGACCTCACCGGACTTAGGTCGTCTGTGGTCAGCGACGTGGGCTTTTTCAGAATGGACTTGATCTCCGCCGACATGGTGGTCATGCCACACGTCGTCAGCGAGTGAGATCGCTTGGCCGGGCCCGTGGACAAGTCAACGCCAGTGGTCGGCTTGCACCGGCGCCTCGGAGGTCTCACCGGCGATTGGTCCGTCCCAGGGGCCACCGTGGTGGCCACGTCCGAAGCGGACCCGTCGTCGTACCACACCGAAGACGCGTTTTTGTGGCTGGCTGGAGACTTGGGGCCATCAAACAGTCGAACCTGTGAAATCGTAAATAACATTTAAAAATCTTTTAACTTTTTAGTGCCCCTAAATATTCTAAACTTCAGACTAGCAGGGGTGTAGGTCAGACCCATTTGTAAGAGGGGGGAGGGGAGGGTATTAACTATCTTTGCATAATATTATATTTATAAATGTCTTATTATAAATTATATTATATTCATTTTTAATAAAGTAGGATTGCCATCTTATCAACGCATGCCATGGCACTTTACGTTCATAATAATTATTTATTTAACTGTTATAGGTATTTGATATTTTTATGAACCCATTATCAAATTTGAATGTAAAAAAATATTTAGGGTTCTTCGTGGGATTTTTTTTGATATTTAAATTTTGAAGCAAGTTATGTATATATTTAAATTTTAAAATGTCCATTACTTGTTTTTATATAACAATATCAAAATAATAATCCTTCGTTGGTCGGTAAACAGTATTATTATTTATTCCGAAAATAAAATTTAATGTTGTGCGTCTTTTTAAATCATGATAGAAAATTTCAATACAAATCAAGGCATCAAAGTATAGCATAAATGTATTCAAATATAACCATTGAACTATTTTTGTAATTTTATTGTGTATGATAATGATATGCAAATCAAATGATCGTTCACACACAATACTGCATTAATATTATAATCTAATCGGAAACAGTATGCAGTAAGTAACAAAATAAATGAGAAAACTTTCAAAAAGCCATAAGGACTAGGACATTCACTTCCCCTTTATTTCATCGAGATGCGCCTGCAGACGAGTGACGATTTAAATGATTAAACGCCAATATGGCAGCTGCGCTTACCGTGTGTCCGGCGATGTTGACGCCTCCGCCTGCATTCCGGTCCACCGGGGTCTTTTTGGCCGATCCGTTGGACGAAAACGATCCAAAACCGCCGATGCTCGACTTATTCTTGGCGAACACAGTGTCTTGTATGCGGTTCATGAACTTATCTTTGAGCGACATCCTCTTAGGACAGTCTCCGTCGCCGCCACCGTCGTCGTCGTTGTCGTCATTGTCGGAGGTCTGCTGCAACAGATCGTACGGGTTGACGTTGCACTCGAGTATCGATCGACGGGACGACGAGACGACGCGACCGCCTGCACCCGTGTCGTCATAATCGGGCGAAGGCGTTCTCGGCGAACCACTGCGGTTCCGTTTCCGGTCGAGTTTCCCGGCTGCGGTGGCCGCGGTGGCCATTCGGTTCCTGCGAACACGGTCGTAGGGGTCTTCGGACGACGGTGCGACTTGCACCGTGGCCGCTGCAGCAGCCACCGCCACGGCGGCAGCCGCGACCGTGCCAAAGTGCTCGCGGCCCAGGAAAGTGCTGCGGGACTTGTTCCGGCAACTCGCGGCCCCGTGGCGGCCGACCGTCCCCGCCCCGCCGGCGCCGGCGTCTCGTTCGTACAGCCAACCGTCGGCGTACCGCATGGACTTGGACAGCGCGCTGCCGGCCGACACGCTGTTGTACTTGGCGTGGTGCGGCCGGTAACCGTTTTGGTAGTGACGGCGGTGCTGCGAGCGGTCACCTTCGGCCGACATGGCCGTGGCCTGGTGATGGGCGGTGGCCGGTACCGTGGCCGTCGGCTGACGGTACCGTTCGGGCAACGCTACGGACGCGGCCATCGCGGCGTCCGGCAGCTGATCGTCGGCGTCGACTCTGCAGTCGCGGAAAACCGACCGGCCGACGTCAGTGCGTAGACGTACGGCGTCGCCGCAACCGACTCCGATCCCGAAATCAGTGCGGCGGCATTGCGTCAACAACGTGGTCGTAGCCGCCGCCACCGGTCGTCTGTCCTGCACTGTTGCGATCGAGTGCTGCCCGCGCAGTCGGTTGCTGTTCATCTGCACCAGCTGTCTGTCGGCTCGTCGCGGTTATCATCGTACGTGGTACCGACCTGAAAAATGAGGTTACCACACTGTTAGTATAACGATATTATATAAACGTGTTCAATATAATCCGAAATTGAGTTCGATCTAACGAAAAACTGTAATCTAAGGGTAAAATATTATTCGACACAGCTCATCCCCAATAACCGACAGACATAATTACATTTATTTTAACCATCAAACGTTTTTATCGCAAACATTTGAATTATACATTTCAAAATACAATCAATGGTTATGAACAATCATATATGGCAGTATATAGTTCATAAATTCAGGTTTTACTAAAAAAATCAAAAATTACAAATTACAATCCATTGCATATTCGTTAAGAGCAATCTTAAAAAAAAAGGTTACTAATATAGATACATTTAGGTGGTTTTGCTTTTCGAGACATATTTCTATATTCTTTATTTTTTGGTTTCTCATTTGAATGACGTTTATTATCAAAATTAGTAATTATTACAATCAATTATTATTTGATTTAAAAGCACCCAAACACTGCAATGTATCATTAACGCGCCGAGTGCAAAAAAAAGGAAATAGCCTGACAATGATGGAAATCAATTATAATCGTCGTTCATCGGTCACGAACTCCTCGATCTGTCCCCCGACGGTATTGAGTGTATAAACAATGTATCTAAAAAAAAATTGAATATCAATAGAACCATGTGACACGTTTTCCAAATATTAACCTTACGCGAAAATATTATTATGCCTTAAGCAGGGTCTTCAGTTACGCCGTCTGTCACGTCGTGTCCAAATGCTAAGCTGGGCCCCACTTCAGTGGAAATTCCTAGGTAGATCAAAGGATTCGCGGACAAATCCCCGTAGTATATTTCCCCGTTAGACATTTTCCCAACACCTTTTCCCCGTCTCGTATTACACAGTGTACTGATTTTCCAATCAGATATAATTCCAAAGGGTATAACGAATAACGATAGCACAAAAAACAATTGTTTTTAATTTCATACTGTATAATATTATGTGTACAAAGCTTACAATTACACCCTGTATATGGACGAATTATTTAACTCTATTGTTTGGTGAATAAATATTTTTTATAGGTTTTAGCGAATAGCCGCACCTATAAAGATAATAAGATCCGTATACATTACGAAAACTAATAATTAAAGTAATAAAAACAACTACACGCATTAAAAAAATTGTTAGTTCTATAATCGTGAAGAATATTTAATTGGAATTGATCATAATTTACAAATGCAATGTATTTTATTAGCTACATTAGTTTGGTTATAGGTTATAAGGTGGTTTTGGCCGTCTTTGAATCGTTCTCATTAGGAGTGCTTAGCGTTTAAACAATGATTCCAAAATGTTAGTTTTTTTTCCATCAAGTGCTGGCGACACCTGTCGATGGCCATTGCCATACGCATTAAAAATTTCCTTGGTTTTGAATTTCTCGGTGGAACGATTTTCGAGCAGCTAATTCCAAAACTATATATATCTTGAAAATTTGCAGTTCCAAGTCTGTAACTCGCATGATTTTATAATTTTTTTCTCATAACGATTTCTAAATTTCCTATTACATTTAGATGTATTTTAACGTCGGACAGTTGCCGTTTTACAACAAAATACACGCGACAATTTCGTAGAATCGGTCTTTACATTATATTGTCCGCATTACAGAGTGTTGTGCTTTCACAGCGAGCGAAATAAATATAGGTACGTACAATCAATTATCGGTATTTTCACACACCGATTGTTGCGATCAGTGCCTTCGAAATACGCGTCGTGACAAACTCGGCGCGTAGGACCATTATAATAATGTATTATACTCATTACTTTTACGTTGCAGCAAATGAAAGTTATATTGGAAACCCTAAATTTTTGTCCGGCGTTTCACACGATATCCGATGACGACAGAGTCCCGACGATTAGAGATTAATCGAATTCAATTAGCGATATACGTTTAATGTACGCCCGAACTGTTTAATAACGAGACGCGTTATCGTAATAATCTCGATACATATTAGTGTGGGCACTTGCACTGATGTATATTATTTTATTTATTATCAATTCTAAATACGCACGCGTAAGTCGCGAATGCGAAAAACGACTCCTATAACTTTCTAGACACACTGCACTCGCACCACATATTATGCGACGGACGGCGAAAACTATACATTAAATTAATTTCAAGTCGTTTGGAAATAATATAATATCGTAACGGCCGTTCGAAATGATTTCATACGTCTTTGGCTGATGTGTCGATCGTTTTTCAAGCACACGTGTCCTGTCGGTCGTTTACAATTCGCAAACTCGGCCCTATATATATGTATATTATATAGTGTCGTGATCGTTATTGTATAGCTACGAGTGGGCCCGTATTGATATACATATTATATATATTATGCACTTGAAATATTAACGTCTCGGAAATTTTACGAATTTCGAAACGATGTAACGGAAATGACCTACCTATATACATTGCGGCAACCCAGGTATCTAACCCGGGCGAGTATACCCCTGACCACCATATAACACCCACTATGTCATATTATAGTGTCTAAAGATTATTACTCATTGTTTGAAATTTGTGATCATACTTTGGAGTAGGTAATATCATACGAATTTAAAAAATTTGGCACGCTTATAAATCGCTAGCGTGTACCACGATATATTATGATATATTATACGCGATATCCATCTTTTGCGTAACACTCTCGCTCGAGCGTACATGATTAATAACTTTTATTTGTCGAAACACATTTATTTGTAGGTGCACGTGAAAAAAAAAATGAAGAAAAAAATAGAAAGCCAAATGGCATTGTTCCAATCTATACGTCTATTATAATACGTTACATTATTATTATATGTTGCGCTGATCAGCTAAAGTGGCCCATCGTTATATTATGTATAGTACGAAAACGAGATTACAAATGGAACGCATTGACGGCAAATGACAATGTTATTATGTATAGGCATGTGTGGCTGTAGACTTTCCGTGTGACGTCTACGGACGATGACGTTCGCGAAAAACGTCTTTAACGTTCGAAATAGGTATAGGCGAGGTAGTCAGTAGTGTTATGCAGAGCGTGATCGTCTCTCCATTTCGCCCCTTTAATAATAAATAAATAATAATAATTTTTCAACTTCCGAATTTTGGAATTTTAAATATGCTTGAGAACCATAATTTCAATTTATTTTGAATAGATGGATTTTTTCGTGCAATTCAACGAGTGCCCAGCGGCGTTACAACTCGATTCGTTAAAAACAAAAAACGACTTCCTTTATTTTAAACATAAACATTTTATAATATGTATAGGAATAGTCCGATTACAATAAATGGCAATGACCCAACTTTAAAATATTATATTTGATACTTTCGTAAACACATTTTAAAGGACTATTATCCCGAGTATATACATTTCGAAACTATTTGTTCTAATACGTCAACAATTTCGAAACAACGAACTGCTAAACAGTTTACAGTAAACGATTAAAGTTCGAAAAATGTGTATTTGAATAAATTCATAATTCGAGGAAAAAAATAGGAGAGAGCGCACTCTGCGAATCGCTCTGCCGTCTGTATCGCACCTACTTTTGATCGACTCGTTAGCATAATATTATAATACTCCCAACAAGCGTTCCGACCGCGAGCGTATAACTCGCCACACGACAATCGGACATAATAATTATAAATTATAATTATAATATTACAATATATATTTATTATTCTCGATGTCGTAACGAAACACCCGTTCATCATCACCGGTGTCCGATGACAATCTCGCACCGCTGCAGGTGTGCACGCTAATACAACAAATATTATTAACTAAATAGGATTCGCAATATGCGTATCGCAACAATATGTGAATTACGCGCGTGACAATTTTTACGCGCAATATTGTTATGCAGTCGTCGACGGAATGGTATTTTTTCCACAAAAGAAACGCGTCCGCGAGCTGCAACGGGACGAGTTACACTGCACAACATCAACGGCCGAGAGGCATATTACTATAATATTATGCGGACAAGCTGCGAGTAGGTATATTGTACGACGTCATATTGACGGGTTTCTGTTCGGCCGATATAGGTTATCCTGTTTGGCAATAAATCCGTTCGATCTACGCGCTTTTAAGGTTTTTTTTTTTTTTTTTACTCGATATCTGGGCGTATTATATATATATACGTGTATAACGATGTATTAAAAATTTCAGTAGTTGTATAAACGTAGTTGTATAAACGCAACAGCTATAATACAGCTCCGGGACTCGGCACAACGACAATAAATCATAATATATAGAAAACAAACGGAAGAATGGCAAGTCGTAATTCAATGATATAAATAATAATTGTAGTAAATATTACTGCAACATTTACGAATACGAGTAAACGCATTAGAAACAGAGTGGTTATTCACCAACCACGATGCCCACCCCTTTATTCTATAATAACGAAGTCATGCAAAATCTGGTTTATCGATTTTTCAAGATCAAATTACATAACTATCTATTTTTTTTTTTTTTGCACGATTTAAAGAGTGTCCTGTGGAGATACAAAGTTCTGTTTTCAAATCAGAAGCTCCCATATGTTTTTATTTTATATTAATTATTTAGCAAATCATTTTGTTGAGAATTTCAGTATGTCTAGGTCAAAATGTAATTTTTTTTACGAATCTTGAAACTATTACAACAATATATATATTGGTAATATATTGTACACTATTTGTCCTATATTTAAGACGTGTACGGATTCTATTAATTTTTGTGCATATGTGGTTGGTATTTTTGATATTAGATATTTATCTGGTATATTATATCCTTGTTCAGTTCTAAAAGTAAGATTATTTTTGATGATGTAAACTATATTGAAACTCTGTAAAATAATCATTTTACTGATTATGACTGATTTATATCACCGTACAAGTATTTTGTGCGATATCTTCAATGTCACTTCGAATCCTTTTTTAGAATAATTTTTAATATTTTATTTCATATTTTTATTAATGGGTATTTATTTAACTCTCTATACAGTTGTTTCGTACAAC